AAGCACAGTACAGCGCTCTTTCTGATCTCATAACTGGAGGACACAGGACCTAGGCTTCCAGTCTTCATCCACATGGGACCAGTTCTTGGAAAAAGGGGGAGTTCCTATGGCTTCAACTTCTCTCATGTCACAGGTGCTTCTGAGAATGGGTGCGAGCCACGGTTTTGTCTAGAGGAACTTGTTTGCTTGTTTGTTTGTTTTCTCACATTGAGGTGCTCCACCTTCCACAAAGATTCAGGAGCACCAAGTCCAAACTGAAAAAAAAAAAAAAAAAGAGAACCACCTGGCTATTATTTTTATTCTCAGCTGTAGACACCCACAGCCCAGCATCTTCTCCTACCCAGTCTGCCTGTGCTACCCAAACTCTCAGAGATCCCTGGGAGCTGGAGCACAGCCAATCACACTAACTATTCCGTCACATGTTTAGAATGCGCTTCCCTGTGGGGTACAGAAGTCTCTGGAAACAAGTCACGCAGGGAGGCCCGGCTCATCCTCTGGCTGCATCTGCGTTTGTCTTGCCAGGCTTTATAGGCGAGTCTGCCATCTTCCTTACCTCCTCAGTCTAAGTCATCAGCTTCATCTCATACTCCATGATTCCCTAGCTCTCCCATATATACTGAGTGTTAATTCCTACCACATCCCTTAGGCTTCCCACAGCTGCAGTTCAGAATCCATTCACCCTCTACTGCCTCCCTTCACACCTGATCAGAACTCACTCCAGAGCCCGAGGCAAGCAGCGGTGGTGGCTCAGGCCTGCAGTCTCAACAAGTAGAGGTAGAAAGGTCATCACAAAATTGAGGGCAACCTGGTGGACATGTTCTAGAAGAGGGCATCATCTCTGTGAGACTGCAGTTTCAGGCAGTTGTGAGCCACACCATGTTAGGGCTGGGAACCAAACCCAGCTCCTCTGCAAGAGTGCCAAGTGCTCTTAGCCACTGAGCCATCTCTCCAAGAATGTTTGCCCTGACCAGACTAACATGACTGTGCCCACCATGAGATAACATCTTTTCATGATGTTTTACACACCCGGGAAAGGCACAGGCACCAGGACCTATGCAGTACTTTGGGCCCTTGGAGAGAAATACAGAGATGAACCCCTTGCGTGTGTGGCGCAACTACAGTGTTTCACTCTGTGAGCCTAGGGCCTGTTCACTACAACTGTTTTTTAATTTATTTTTTACATTCCAGTCCAAGTTCCCCCTCCCTCCTCTGTTCCTGCTCCCCATCTTCCCCCGCCCCACCTCCTTTCTGCTCCTCCCCTAAGAAGTGTACTGAGTCTGTCCCATCATCTCATTGAGACAGGACCTGCAACTAATGTTTGTGCCAAGAGGCTATGAGATAGCGAAGTGGAGCAGAAAATAGATCAGGGGGTTTCTGATTAAAGAAGTTTGAATCTTAGTCAGGCAATGGTATCACACACTTTAATTCTAGCACCTGGGAGTCAGAGACAGGCATGTCTCTGAGTTCAAGGCCAGTCTGGTCTACAGAGAAAGTTCCGGGACAGCCAGTACTACACAGAGAAACCCTGTCTCAGAAAACCAAAAAGAGGGGTTGCAAAGATGGCTCAGCAGTTAAGAGCACTGGCTGCTCTTCCAGAGGACCCAGGTTCAAGTCCAGCACCCACAGGGTAGCTCATAAGTGTTTGTAGCTCCATTTCCAGGGGCTCCTACACCCTCTCAGAGACACACATGTAGGCAAAACACCAATGTATATGAAATAAAAATAAAATATTTAAAAAGGAAAGTGCACACCTTTAATCCCAGCACTCAGGAGGCAGAGGCAGGCGGAGCTCTGTGAGTTCGAGGCCAGCCTGGTCTACAGCGTGAGTTCTAGGACAGCCTCCAAACAATACTGTCGTGAAAATCCAAAAAAAAAAAAAAAAAAAAAGGAAAAAGAAAGCCATTCTAGATAAAGGGAAGATGTGAGGCATATGCAGAGAACCAGTGTCAGGGTCTGTCACTAGATACTTGAGTGAGACAATATTTCACATACTGGTGTGGCTGACACTGTCTCTTACCCACAATCAACTGAGGTCCTAAAGCAAATGGAAATTTACAGAAGAAAACAAAATTCTTAGATTTTAAAGATTTGTTTTTATTATTTAATAGTCATGTGTCTGTCTGTATATGGGTATGTGCACATGAACCCACATACCCACAGAGGCCAGAAGAGGGCGTCAGAGTGAGAGTGCTGGGAACCAAACTCAAGTTGTCTGCAAGAATCAAATGTACTCTTAACCACTGAGCCCTCTCTCCAGCCCCCAATTATTAAATTTCAAACTGTTATTCTGAATAATGTGATGACGTAGACTGTCATCTTACCACATACCACCAGGGACTCAAATCATGCATTCATCCAGAATATCCACAGTGCACACATTGTCATGTGGCAGAATGAGAAAGGAGAGAGAGGGAGGGAGGGAGGGAGGCAGGGAGGGAGGGAGGGAGGGAGGGAGGCAGGAAGGGAAGGAGGGAGAGAGAGGATATAGTTACATAGCTTTCATAATTGTGAATTATTACAATTGCTCTGATTTATTATTAATTGTTATTAATTTTGCTTTAAGTTTAAATCCTTGGGGCAATAATCAGGCCTGGAAGAGGGGAGCACTTGGGCTGCCTATCGAAGGGAGGCGGCAGGGCAGAGAGGAGGCTGTGACTACAGACGGGAGGCCGTAGGAAACAGCGTCAGGAGGCTGGGAATAGAACCTCTGTGTTGCACAGTGAAGATGGGTAATGAGGACAATTACAGGCAAGCAGTGGTGTGAAACTGTCAGGTGCCGTGCTGTGGATGACGGAATCATACCTAATGAACTAGTGACTGCCGCTAGGGAAATTTCCAGGCAGAGTGTTAAGGGTGAAAATTGTCTTTTTAGCAGCTTTAACTGGAAAGGAACTATTTAGCTTGCAAACTGGATTTAGAAGATGTGTTCAGGGTCTGAGAGGTGCTGGGCTGCAAAATCAATGTTTTTGGATTTCCAGGCTTTCTGACACCAAAAAGAGGCACAAGGAGGCATGGCTTCAGGGTAGACATCAAATCACGTTTGAGCTTGGAAGCCTCCTTTGTTCAAACCTCTTGGAGGCTTAAAGGAGAAGATGGCACTCTCAGAGTCATTGCTGGACCACTTGCCAGCAGGCTTCCTGGACTGAAGGAGGACCCTCGCTGGAGCAGTCGTGGGTTTGACTTTGCTGTGCTCTCTATATGTGCACAGCTGACAATGTTTTCAAACCAGAATTCAAAGTGAAGAGGTCCCCTGGGTCCCCCACTTTCTACAGGCAGAACGTGTGTTGAGAATGCTGCCCGGCCTCAGAGTGAGTTCCAGGATGGCCAAGGCTACACAGAGAAACCCTGTGTTGAAAAACAGGCTAGCTGGGATGTAGCTCAGTTGGTGGAACATTTCCCAGCACGCAGGAAGCCCTAGGCTCAATCCCAGCACTACAACAGCTGGGCATGCTCATGTACATCCTCAGCTACATGAGTTTGAACCACACTGGACTATATGGGATCCTGTCTAAAAAAAAATCAGAAATTGTGTACCTAATAAAAAATATAAATTATCACCTTGCCACATGGTAAAACCATTGCCAGATTATGAAACCTGTAGAATCAAGTTCATGACTTCATAATTAATGGCAAAGGCAAAATGGAATTATGTAGAGGGTAGCCTCTGTGTAGACAAAGGATGGAAGCATAAATACAGTTCTAGGACACTAGAAACGCAGTTTAGTGGAGGGCATTTGTCTACTATGTGCCAGTGTTAGTTTCTGCGGGGGCAGCAGCCTGCCCCTGCCGCCAAAGCAGTTATGTCATCACCTGTCACCAGCTGCCTTTCCAGCTGCTATGTGACATGGGCATCCTTTAAAAGTGACCACCAACCAGCTCACTCTCTTGCCTCTTCTCTCCCCTCTTGCTTTCTTGTCTTTTTTATTTCTTGCCTCTTCCCTGTTCTGCCTGCCTGCCTCTCAAGTCCCACATGAGTGTAGAAGGGAGATTTTCTCCAACTAGTCTGAGTCCTACCGGACCCGTTTCTCTCTGTCCACCAGGTCCCCACAGCTACTATGAAATGACCACTCAGGGACTTAATATGTATTTATAATTGTTTGGCCATTGACTTAGGCTTCTTACTGGATAGCTCTCTCTCTCTTAATTATTAACCTATTTCTGTTACCTGCGTATCACCATGTGGCCTTGGCTTACCTAGGTGATGCCCTGGTGTCCTGCCTCACTGGCGGTTACATGGTTACTCTGTCTTCCTTCTCTCTTCCTCTTTGTCTAGAATTCTTGCCTAGTTCAATTCTGCCTGACCATTGGCCAAAACAACTTTATCCATGAACCAATAAGAGAACACGGAGCCATGCTATAAAGAGGCCATCCCCCATCAACATGCCTTTCACTCTTTCCCTCTCCCCGCCCCCCAATAATCCTCTTGCACTAACCCTGCTGCACATGGTGGGTTTCCTTAGTGGCATGCCTTGGCAGGGCCCGCAGAAAGGGTACCCACTTTGCCTTTTTTTTAATCCTTTCACAAAGCCCAGGGCTTCACCCCAGCCCACCAGGCGGGGAGTGGAGGTGGGGACATAACACGAAAGAGATGAGATCATGGTGAAGGATATACTCTTGCTTTCCTCTTAATTCTTTTTCTTGCTAGGCTGGCCTCGTCACATCCCTGTGACAATGTTATCCTTTGTTTCTGGGGACATGCCTGACCTTCCTATGGAGCAAAAGATAAAGTCAATTCATTTGCTCTCCCTCGGCTGGCACACAAGCCCACAGGAGACCAGACTCAAGTAGAAGCTTCTCCTGGAAGCATTTAATAAATCCCTCAGGGGCCAAGATGTAATTATCAGGATGGCCTGTACTCGGGAGGAGAATCTAGGTCATGGGGAACCAGATCAAAGAAGGGGGGCCAGAAAGAATAACAGGCCACTTGAAAAAAGCATGAGATATCCTGCCTTTCACACAAGATAACCCTGGCAGGAGACCAATGAACACAAGGAACCAGAGCTGCTAAGGCAGACCTGATGCTGGGAACCGGAAGAAGGCCCCCAGGAGGTGGGGCCTGGCCTCACTGCCATCTGAAGGGAAGATAAATTCTCCACCTAAAGCAGCCATCCTCCTGAGCATCCCCATGTGTAAGCCACCAAGAACAAAAACCTTGAGCAAGAAGAGCTTCAGCAAGGAGCCTATGGCTAAGCGCCCCACAGATGGAAGGGAGAGGGGGAAGGGCAAGGAGGACCACCATCCGAGGCAGAGCACTTGACAGTTGAGAAGGAGGTGCCACCGGATGTTTCAGGCTGACTGGTTTGCAGAAGCTAAAAGGTACAGGTGAGAAGTCCCTTGTGTAATTATCTGGGGGAGTGGTCCAGCCAATCTGGGCCAAAGACCGGCACAGAGGCCTCAGTTAAGGACTTGGTAGGAACAAGCCACCGGAGCCACTAGAGCGTGCACCTTAGATGGTCTGCCTGGCTGTGTGGCAGTAGAATGTCCTCGGACACAGCGCCCGCCCCACTCAAAGGAGAGAGGATGTCGGAGGGAGGGGCCGGGGAGCCAGGCGGGGGAGGTGTGATGGGAGCTTGATTCAGCCCCGGGTTTTGGCAGCTGAAAGGAAAGGGTGGTGGGGGCGTTGAAAAATTGCAAACTTAAAGGAAGTAGAGAGGGAGTTTGAAAGAGTCACGATCAAAGATAAACTGGGGAGAATGGGATCTCCAAGCAGCATGGAAGTCCCCGCAGAGCCCAGAGCATGACTATGAGGTGCAGCCAAAGGACACACTGCCTTTCTCCAGGGATGCTGTTGGCAGCCTCTAGCAGGGGCAGCTTGTCGACGTGCTGATCCAGGTTGGACAGTGACACTGCTAGTCCTGTAGGAGGTTGGGGTGTGAAGATCTCAGTCCTGTCAAGGACATGCTGGAGAGAGCTAGCCTCTCCCGGGAGCCCAGGTTAGGGCAGGCATGGGGACAAGGACATGCTGGAGAGAGCTAGCCTCTCCCAGGAGCCCAGGTTAGGGCAGATATGGGGGCTTCTGGCTATGTCAGGGGATGTGCCCCTCCAATAGGCCTCAGTAAACACACAAGATGCTTGAAAAGAAGATGCTGACAACTTCACACTAACATTGCTAGTGATTTATTTCTTTAACTTTGAGAAATTGTAGTTGGGGCTGGAGAGATGGCTCAGTAAAGTACTTGCCATGTAAACAAGATGTTCTAGTTTTATTTTTGTTGCTGTGATAAAATATGTTGACCAAAAAACTTAGGAGGGCTGGAGAGACGGCTCAGCAGTTAAAGAGCATGGAGTGTTCTTCCAGAGAGCCTGAGTTCAGTTTCTAGCATTCATGTCAAGTCCTTCATAACAGCATGTCGTAACTCCAGCTCCAAGAGAATTGACACCACTGGCCCCTTCGGGCACCTGTACACACACACACACACACACACACACACACACACACACACACACACACCCAGTAAATCTTTACAAAAGAGAAGAAAGGGCTCATTTCCTGATCAGTGAGGAGAAACCAAGGCAGAAGCAGCTAGTTACATCATACCTCCTGCCATGAGCTAAGGAAGAATAAAGGCTGGTTGATTATTCCAGTTAGCTTCCTCTGATTATTCCAGTTAGCTTCCTCCTTTCTTACAGTGTTTAGGACCTGCCTGTCCCCCACCACCCCAGGGAATGGTACTAGCCACAATGGGCTGGGACTTTTGAAATAAGTTAACAATGGAGACATGCCCACAGGCCATCGTGACAAAGGCAGCTAATTCCTCATTACTGTCTTTCCAGGTGGTTCTAGATTGTGTCAGGGGATGTCTGATCAGCCTCAGCAAACACTCAAGATGCTGACAACTTAACCTAGTTAAGTTCTAGCACTTGTGTAAACAGCAAGGCATGGGTCTGGAGAGATGGCTCAGTGGTTAAGAGCACTGACTGCTCTTCCAGAGGACCTGGGCTCAATTCCCAACCCCCACAAGGCAGCTCACAACCACCTGCAACCCATTTCTAGGGAATCCCATGGCCTCTCTGGCCTCATCCAGCTCCAGACACGCATGTGGTTCACAGAAATACATGCAACCAAACACCCACACACATAACATAACAAATAAAAGGAAAATATTTATTTAAACAAAAATGAAGGCTGGAGAGGTGGCTTAGGAGTTGAGAGAACTTACCCTCCTTGCAGAGGACCTGAGTTCAGCTCCCAGAACCCATCTGCTGGCCAGGGGATCTGGCCTCTGAGAGCTCCTAACATGCTTGGTGTATATAAATTTATGCAAATAAATAACATATATAGATTGTTTTGTTTTTCTAGACAGCCTTTCTCTGTGTAGCTCTGGCTGTCCTGAAACTAGCTCTGTAGACCAGGCTGGCCTCAAACTCAGAGATCCACCTGCCTCTGCCTCCTGAGGCTAGGATTAAGGTGTGCACCACCATGTCTGGCTTACTTTTTATTTATTTATTTTTTAATTTTTGGATTTTCAAGATGGGGTTTCTCTGTGTAGCTTTGGAGCCTATCCTGGCACTCCCTCTATAGACCAGGCTGGCCTCGAACTCACAGATATCTGCCTGCCTCTGCCTCCCGGGTACTGGGATTAGAGTGTGCCACCAATGCCCGGCATGTCTGGCTTACAAAATTTAAAAATACATAAGATGGCTATCTCTGGGAGATCCACACCTGAGGTCAACTCTGACTTCTATGTGTGCACATACCTGTGTACACACACAGACAAATAATAAAATTTTATGTGAGCTCGAGGCCAGCCTCTCTATAGAGTGAGTTCTAGGACAGCCAAGACTTGTAGTAAATATATATGCACCATAAAATGTGCTTTTGAGCCTACAGGGTAGCATCAAATGTGTTGAGTTTTTATACAGCTGATACAGCTGACACCACTATCCATCGGCAGAACTTTGCCGTCATCACCAGCTAAACTCTGTAATCCTTGCACATAACTCCCCTAGGCCCTAGTAACCTCTGTTCCACTTTCCACCTCTATGAATTTCCTGACCCCAGAACCTCATGGAAGCCTCATCACACAGCATGTCTTTCTGTTATTGACTTATTTTACTGAGCATGATTTCAAGGTTCATCAGTGGTGTTGTGTGTCATAGGATTTCTTCCAAGTCTGAGGGATACTCCACTGTATGGAAATACCACTATCATTTTTATCTGGTCACCCATGAGTAGATGCTGGAGTTGCTCCCATCTTTTAGTTAGTGTTAATGATACTGCACTGAGTATTGATGTGCAGACATCCGTTCAGCACTTTTGATTCTGTTGTACGGTATATTGAAAAGTAAAAACTGTTATGTAGCCGGGCGGTGGTGGCACACACCTTTAATCCCAGCACTCCGGAGGCAGAAGCAGGCGGATCTCTGTGAGTTCGAGGCCGGGCTGGATCGACAGCCTCCAAAACAATACAGAGAAACCCTGTCTCGTAAAACAAAACAAAAAAAAAAACCTGTTATGTATATTTGTTAAATTTTAAGGGTTTTTATGTGCATGAGTATTCTGCCGGTATGTATGTAAGTGTAATAAGTGCCCTTAGATTTCAGAAAAGGGCATCAGATCCTCTGGAACTGAAATCATGGACAGTTGTGAGCTGCCATGTGGGTGCTGAAAACTGAACTCTGATCCTGTGCAAGAGCATCACGTGCTCTTAACCAATGAGCCATCTCTGCAGCCAATAGTTTTGGGGGAGGGCAGGGTCTCTTTTGTCTCCATGATCACACTCTCTAGGAGAGCTTCTGGTGGATTCTCCTATCTCCAGCTCCCATTTTGCTGCAGGTATGCTGGGATTACAGGTTTTCATGTGAGTTCCTGGGATCACACCCAGGTTGCCCAGCTTATTTGGCAAGGGCTTTGCCTACTTAACCATCTCCCTGACCCTGTGATATATTTTTAAGTGATACACATAAGGGAATTAAAAAAAAAAACAGACTAATGTAGCTTTGACTGGGAATGTGTCCTGCTGGCCAGTGGAATGCTAGATTCAAGGGAAAACTGGATACTATCACCCAACCTGGGAATAGCTTGAGTTCACACATGTCTGTTTCTGGAGCACTAGGCTGGGATTTGGGGACTCCTTTAGGATTCAAGGCTGGGCCTTGAAATTGATTATTTTAATTTGGGGAGCAAAAGAATCCAGGCCAGTGAGATGGCTCATCGGGTAAGAGAATTTGCCGTGCAAACCTGACAGCCTGAATTTGATCCCTGTAACCTATGTAAAAGTGGGAGTAAACAATAAAATCTCCATGAAGTTGTCCTCTGACCTCCTGGTGTATGTGCACACCCCACCCCACCCCATCACATCACAGACACAACACACACAATAATGGTAAAGAAAACTAACAATTTTTAAAGCACAGAGGAGCCCCAGCAGACTCTGGACCAACATACACACACAGCTGTGTGAAACACGCCTTATACAGATAAGAGGGTTTGGTATGGACAAGGATGGAGCTGGCCATTTGTTTTTTCTTGTTTTTTTGTTTTTTTGTTTTTTTTTCGAGACAGGGTTTCCCTGTGGCTTTGGAGGCTGTCCTGGAACTCGATCTGTAGACCAGGCTGGCCTCGAACTCACAGAGATCCGCCTGCCTCTGCCTCCCGAGTGCTGGGATTAAAGGCGTGCACCACCAACGCCCGGCGGGAGCTGGCCATTTGTAAAAATAAAACCAAGCTCTAATGAGGCAGCCACCTTCCTTCTCTGTGCATGTGAATTTAAAAAAGTCCTGGAGCCCCGCAGGCTTCTGCGTCAATCTGTTCTCTCCCATCTCACTCTCTCTCTCTCTCCTCTCCCACTCTTTCTTTTTTCCAGAGACTGGGTCTTATGTGTATCAATGTAGCCTTAGCTGGCTTGTAACTATGTAGAACTTGAAACCCTCCCGTCTCTCCCCCCAAGGGCTGGGGTTACAGCTAGGAACCACCACACCCAGACTCTCCAACATGTCTAAGCTCCCATTTTACCCTCCCCCACGTCCCCTGCCCTGTGTCCTCTTCTGTCGGTGGGGTAGTGTCTTAGTTAGGGTCACTGTTGCTGTGATGAAACACCATGGCCAAAGGGACTTGGGGGGAAAGGGTTTATTTGGCTTATGCACTGCTTGTCACTGTTCATCACTGAAGGAAGTTAGGACAGGAATTCGTGCAGGGCAGGAACCTGGAGGCGGGAGCTGATTGGGAGGCCATGGAGGGTGCTGCCTACTGGTTTGTTCCCCCATGGCCTGCTCAGACTGGTTTTTTTTTTTTTTTTTTTTTTTTTTGGTTTTTCGAGACAGGATTTCTCTGTGGCTTTGTGGCTTTAGATGCTGTCCTGGAACTCACTCTAGACCAGGCT